TATTGAGTTGTGTGAAGCAAAAGCAGCTCATATCAATAAACACGAAAGAAAGAGGTCCCACCATCAGGACTTCAGACTGATAAGACAAGTAAGGGAAAAAGAAGAGGAAAGAGGGTTTTTTTCACAAGACCAAAGGAACGGTGAACTTTAAATGAGCATTTATATGTACATCAGGCCAGCCTGTTCTTCCCTTGCTAGTGTTTTTGTTTGAATCACTATTTGGCTAACGGATAGGGCCAGAATGTTCTTTCCCCTTACTACTGTAGTCCTAAGGCTACTGGCAGATAGAACTGATTTTTTTTCCTGACAGGGATAGGGAAAGTGGATTCCTTGCAACTACATGTTCTCTAGCCAGCAAATGAGCCAAATTTACTCGCCTCTTGACTTGATGTTATTTCTGGGAAGCAGGGAATACAGCCTCCCAGTCGTCCTCTGTTTTCTGGCTGATTACAGAAACCAGTGTGTGCTTCCCTTCTGCTCTCCAGTCCTAGGGGAATTGTCAGCTGCATATTCAAGTGGGCAGTGCTTCCTGTCTTCCCAGTAATTTGAGGTACACTGCCAGAAAGTAGGAAGGATCTGTGATGTTCCTGTATTCCAGTGCTGAATGCCATGTACACTGCTAGAATATATGAGATTTGTGCATTGATAAGGCAGCTGATGGTATTTCTACTGGGTCATACCAGGAATATATGAAAATATGGATTTGTTTCTGCTACTTCTTCTGGAGCTGCATGTGAAGGCCATTATGTGTCCTCTCATCCCACATGCATCCTGCTCACTATCCAAAACTCAGGAATGGGGATGCAGGAATGACTTTTTTAAGAGTGATACCAGATTTGGGCACTTGCCCACTGTTGAACATGTCGGTTTTTAGGCACCACATTAAGATTTTCTCTTTACCCAGACTTTTAATGAACATTAATTGGAGAATTTTTAGCTGTCTCCTGTTGGAGTTTATTGTGCTGTTTTATCCTGCTATTGTACTGCAGTTTTATTACTGACTTTAGGATTTTTATGGATGTATACACTTTGTATAGTTTTCATTGTTAGATACCCTGCAAATTTTACCTGAATGGTGAAATATACTGAAAGTTTGAGGGAGGGGAGTTATATATAATATAAAAGAAAGTTTGTCCCAGTATAAACATTAAGGTGGTTCCATTTCAGTTTCCCAGAAAACAAGAAGCCTGAGCCCCTCAATGCAAGGAGCAGACACAAACCAGATTTAAACCAATCTGTTTTTGATTCCAAACTGTTGTCCCATCTGTTCTTGTCAGTTCTTACTGAGCCATTCTCTGGGGTGATGTATTTTGGCATCCTTTGAACAGCTGTGAGTGTTGTAATGAGGTTGGCTAGAGTATAACTCATTGAAGCAGCACCTACTAATCACTGCATATTGATAAGTGGTATGCGTTGTTGTTGTTGTTGTTGTTGTTTGAAGTAATCTTCCAGGCATGCAAGCTGCAGAACTGGAGGAGGACTTGTGTGTTTTGTGTGGTTGTAAAAATGCTCATTAACTGCCATAGGTCCAATTATCTTAGGGAAGTATGTGACTGATTCATTTCTTGGCAGGCTGTGTGGAAAATGCATGCTTACAAACATTGGGTAGCCTGCCTGAAAGTGACACCTGACACAGGTGAAAAGCATCTGCTTTGGACAGAGGAAATGTAAGCCTCTCTCTTTTGGCTCCCTAGGTACTGGAACTCATTGAGTAATTTGGTGGCTTCCCTGCTCAACTCTGTGCGCTCCATTGCCTCCCTGCTGCTGCTGCTCTTCCTCTTCATCATCATCTTCTCCCTCCTAGGAATGCAGCTATTTGGGGGCAAGTTTAACTTTGATGAGATGCAAACCAGGAGAAGCACATTTGACAACTTTCCTCAATCACTGCTCACTGTGTTTCAGGTATGTGTTTCCACTTATTTAAAAGATAATAAGATTTGATAACCCTGTAACACAATCCATGGTGCTCTTATGCCAATTGAAAACGACACTGAACTTAATCAAAATTAAAATGCATTGAAAATTAATTAGTTTTTTGAAAAAATATTTCCGTGTTTTCTAAAAGCAGGCAAAGAGAGACCAAGGTGGGTCTGTCACCTTCTCACCTTTGAGAAGACCCTATTCCTTATTGCTCTTGGCACCTTTAGTTGAGCTTCCTCTGGAAATTTTGATGGAGGGGAAAGCCCATATAGGAAGAAGTTCCCTTGCGAGTGCTACACCAGAATATAGCTTTTACTAATCAGTAGGAGAGTTTTTGCTTTCAGGATATATACAACTATTGTAGAGCTTTTTTATAGGTGTTGCAGAAAATTCACTCTGAATGCCATGCATCATACTGAGAATACCAGAGGCACTCATATTCACATAGCAGCATTTTCCCACTCCCCATCAGTGTTTAGACTGCCCTCTAAAAGAGTGCTTGGGTGCTTCATTTGAAGTAATAATGCTGCTATTGTGCATTTTCTACCCAGCATTCCTTCACAGCTCACAATGATAATCCCAAATATTAACCTTTAAATCCTTCTTTCATTTATGTTCCCAACCAAATTTTTAAAAAGTCCCTAGTGTGTGATATCTATGTCACAAAATGTCACTTAATGCATAAAGACAGACTACTGTGCAGAACATATGGCCTAAGCTGATGGGTGATCATCCAAGCTCCTTCCCATCCATGTCCTACAGTGTGAATGGGGATAGCAGTAAGTGCCTTACGCCCCTAGTAATTGGGAGGGTTTCTTTATGACAGAAGAGGATCATGTACTTTCTTGTAACAAGCTTTTTTGCAGGTTTTCAGCATACTTTCTAACACTGTTTCCCCCCATTGGGGGGAATGTGTCATTTAGATCCTGACTGGGGAGGACTGGAATTCAGTGATGTATGATGGGATCATGGCTTATGGCGGCCCCTCTTTTCCAGGAATGTTGGTCTGTATTTACTTCATCATCCTCTTCATCTGTGGAAACTGTATCCTTTGCTGCTCTCTTAGTTTTCTTTGGCAGCTTGGCTGAACTGTGGTATTTATTTATTAAAAACATTAGTGCGCCACCCAATTGTGCCATAGCACCCTCTGGGCAGCTCACAACGCAAGATAAAAACACAATAGAACACAATAAAACCCATAACATATTATACATTAAAAACAACAATAAAACTCAGTAAAACATACAAGAAAAGGTCTATGGCAATTAGTTATTAAAATGTTTTTTTTTAAAGGAAGGTCTTCGCCTGGTGCTGAAAAGAAAGTAAGAAGGGCACCAGGCAAATCTCCTTGGGGAGAGCTTAGAGAATGTGTTTGAAGAAATTATTTTTAAGTGACAAAGAAGCTGTGGTAGGCTAAAAATGGCTTGCAGTAATGGCAGAGAGCAGCAGAACTCCTTGCTGTTCCCAAAATATCACCTGCAAATACCCACAGGAGGACTAGGGACGTGAAGGGAAGGGACCACCACCCATAATCTCTTAGCATCTGATGGTAAAACATCTAGAAGGTACCAAATTGCCTATTCCTTCAGGCAGCATCAGTAGTTGCTGTAGTTGGGCACCTGATGAGATCAGTGCCTGAACATTTCCCACCTGGGCTCCCTGCCCTCTCTTGCTCTTCCTTATGCTGGCCCAGCTGCTATTTTCTTCTGGCTGAGAAGGAAAGTAAGCAATAAGAGATGAAAAGTAGTAGGTATTGCTTGCTTGTCCTCTCCTCCTGGGTGTTGGAGTGGAGAGTGGGCCCAGTCCCTGCCAGTATCCAGAGGGTGAGGTGAATATGTGGCAGCAAGTCCTGCTCTCTCTTGCTTTTTCTGCTGAAGGAGGATGAATGAGGGCCATGTGCTACCTTAAAAACTAGTATATTTGTTATGACATAAGTTGTTGGGAGTGAGAAGGATGGCTGCTTTGGGCACTTGTTCTCAAGGACTACTGGCTGGATTTCATAAATATTGGAATTAGAATGTGAGGCAGATCAAAGGGGTGCTGGAAAGCATAGGCCATGCTGAGATATTTAGAGGAAGGAGATGGATGCACTTATCTCAAGACCAAATGCCTCAGAAGGGGAGGCAATTCCTGGGAATGACCAAGATACATAGCTGCCAAGAGGGGAATTGGAGGAGGGGCGTTTTTCAGATCCCTGGCTCTTCACCCCAAGACAGCAGAGGGGGCAGCCGAATTAGAGGATTGGTGCACAATGGGGAAGCAACTTGACTTTCAGATGGCTGCTTCCAAAGGGATGGGGCCCAGGCATGTTCATAAGGAGAGTTCCTGGAGGTGAATCCTAGATTAGGTTCAACAAACCATTCTGTGCATGCTCAGAGATTCATTCTGGGTGTTTTGTGCTTTGGGTGTCAACAAAAAATGCTTTGCAAAGGAAAATTGTACTGTGACTTTTGAATGCTTGAAAGAGGAACATTGTCTTGCAACATAAGCTTTCTTAAGCTGGAGCCCACTGTATCAGGTACTGAATACAGGGATCAGTAAGCTGTCTCTGCTTAATGTCTTTCATGTTTCCATTTTTCTTTCATTCATAAATCCATTCAATCCCATTTTTGTATAAATGATTAGATTTAAAAAAATCTGCACAGAAGTCATATTTTAATTCATATTTTAATTTGTATTTTGACATTTTGCTTCATTAAACTCATTCATTTCTCAAAATATTTTATCCTAAGCTGTGCTTTTTATATACATCATAGTTGTTTGTAGGTTTGCCATTGTGTGGACAGAATGTTGAACTGGAGAGAACATTGGTCTGATCCAGCATGGCTTATCTTATGCTCTTTTTTGCAGAATCGTATATATTCAAAATCTGGAGCTGACACTTAATTATTAAGATCCTGGTACTTCGTAACTTAAACTTAGTGATGCCTATCTTTCAAAGTGAAGATATACTTCTGCCAGTAGTGTGCTTAAATTCACTTTATTCATTTGAGAAATATCTCTAAGCACCATTATACCAAAATAATTTATCACTCTGCAAATTGCAAGCAGTTATTTCCTACATTTACTTTTGCACCAAAACACATTGTATCAGTTACCTGTTTGGAATAATAAGAGTTTCAACCCCAGTCTCACTCAGAAACAGTCCTGCAGTGGAGCCCTAGGAACAGCAGCCTCCAGCACTTCTGCTGCCTTCCTCTGTTGTGAAGGTATGTTTCTGGACCTTGGGGAAGGGAAACCAGTGACAGTTCACACAATCAAGTCAGAGTGGTTTTCTTCCTGCTCACAGTTCTTTGTTGGCAGACCTGCTCATCTTGATCCTACTGCAGGTGTCTGATTAGGGCTAAGCACTAATATGGGAACCCCTGCATAAAAGCTCAAAGCACTGCTATGAAGAAAGCATGAAAAAGTGGCAGAATAGGATGGAGTTAAGATATTCCAATTAAAATTAGCTAAAGCTGCCTTTTGTTGCATATTCTTCAGATTCTTGTGATCATTTTGATTGGAAGTTGCTCATCTTTACTTAAATATTGGTATTGGAAACTACCTTTTTGTAAAATTGTTACCACTACTATTCTTGGTGAAATAGGTCAGATAATCAAAGCATTGGTCTATCCAATATTTATTAATTTTATATCTCATTTTCACTAACATTCAGAATGACAAACTATAAAAGGCCAATAGAGAATTCATTAAAACAAACATACCAAACAATAAAATAAAACTCTAAATAATATTCAAAATTCAGTGCACCAAAACTATCCACCTGGACTAATTCACTGCATCTCCTAGAAAGCTTGTCTAAAGTGGCCTTCTTAAAAGCATGCTGTGATGGATTCAGATGGTCTTGAATTGAGAAGGCCGTATTCCATCCCTTCAACAGATTTTAATCTGTAAATGAGAGGATTCTTAACATGGCTTTCCCAATAAACTTTAGTGGGTAGGTCAGACTTGCAGAGAGAAAGGCGCACTCTCAGATATGATTGATCCAAACTGCTTAGTACGTTTGAGATCCCATACCCACAGGGCATTGTTCCATGCTGTTTAATACATGTTTTCTTTAAAGAAGTACACAAACAGATATCCTGCTGAATGTGTTTTTGGCCATTGCGGTGGACAACCTTGCTGATGCTGAGAGCTTGACATCTGCTCAGAAAGAGGAAGAAGAAGAAAAAGAAAGGAAAAAACTAGCTAGGTAGCACCTTTGTCTCTTGTTTATATTAAAAGAAATGTTCTCATGTTGATTCTCGAGAATAAGCAGCTTTTTTAAACTACAACACCCAGTTAGATGTTGCAACACCCAGGTTGTATCCTATGATGTTTTCGGGGGAAAGCAGGCATCTTTCCTCTGGAATATGCTTTGTTTATGCCAGCACCCACCCAGTCAAATGTAGTGAACCATGTGGCCTCATTAGGGCCCAGCACTCTGTGTGCTTGGACTGTGAACATCAGATCAAAAATCCTCTATTTCACTGTGTTTGACCAAAACAGTTTTGGTGGTTATCTTTTAATGGGCCAACATGCTTTGGCCTAAAAATGTGCAAGGATATCAAATCTTTCACCAGATAGCAAAGCCTCTATAATACGCGTAGGTGTTTGTGTTTGAATAAGGAAGTTTGATAGTCGCTATTTTGAGTTTGGATCAAAAAAAATAACTGAAGGAAATTAATGGAAGAAGCGTTCTCCTCCTTCCCATGCAGGCACCATAGACCCCTGAAAAACCTCTCTGGAGCCCTCTTAACAATGTGGAATGGGTCATGGGAGGCTTCATGAGAGAGGACTGGAAAAATATGAAAGACAGCAGTGCTACATCATGAGTAAAGAATCCAAAATCTAGACTGTGTGGCCATGAGATTTGTGATATAGGCTCAGTCTCAAAATGGCAATGGCATACTGAAAGGAACAAGTCACTGGTAGGTGTTGCAGATACTGGAATATGCCTCGCATTCTGAGACAAAGAAGCAATACCTGACTGTCATCTGTGAAAATATCAAGACCAGCTGTTACTCAGATGTGTCTCTTGCCCTAGCCAAAGCATGGATTTCTGGTTTTGGAGGAGGGTAAAGAAAGGAACTGTCTTGGCTCTTGGGCCAAAAACAAATACCAAGTGCTTGGTGACACAATGGGCCATTGCTCTGAATAGCTTGTCATAACAGAATGTTCTATATTTCACAAACACTTGCCTTTTCCATCTCTGCTGCAATATTAGAACTGCTAGTCCTGAAAAGAAGCAAGAGCCAGAGAAGCCAGCTGTGGAGGGGGAGACCAAGGAGGAGAAAATTGAGCTGAAATCAATCACTGCAGATGGGGAGTCTCCACCTTCTAATAAGGTCTGTTGTCTGCTGCCACCCAGCTTGCTTTGTGCTAATCATCTTTATGAATTAATAAAAGAATGGCTAAGGCATGCTCTGTTACGGATTTTTTCTTTCTTTCTGCCAGAGCAATATAGACGAATATCAGCTTAATGAAAATGAAGAAAAAAATCCCTATCCTACTACTGAAACACCAGGTAATTCTACCCATGTTTTGTTCTGTTTTTTGTTACTAGCCCAAGAAACTGCAGCTCACATGCCTGCAGGCGTTCCTTCTGGATTACAGAGAGATCTGTATCATCCACTAAAAGGTCATTGGTTGATATTCTGATACAGTGGAATAATTTCTTTAACTGTACTGGAAATCTTGCTTGGCAGAGCACTGGCAAATATTTTGATGTTACAAAATAATAGATATTGTATTATGCTGCATTATATTTCTTATATAGTCACAGCTGTATGCAATCACTGTGGTGTCTCAAGTTCTACAGCATGAATAAACTGCAAATTAAGCAGATTTGCATTTATATCTTTGCTCTGCATAATGTTTCTGTTTCTGCAAGACAGGGGAGTGGAAAAGGATCTATTCAGAGTAGTCTTCACCCATATAGGGCCCTCCAGATATATTTGTCAGTAAGCCCTGCAATTCATGACTATCGGACATGCTGTGGGAAGGCTAACAGCTCCACCTCCTTTGGCATCAGAGATTTCACCATGCTTTCCCCCATAATTTCAACTGGAACTTTATATTTGCAGTCATTTCTCATTTTCAAATGATGTGTTGAATTCAGAACATTAACCACTTTTCAAAGGTTTTGTTGTGAACACAGAAGATGGTTTTCTTTACTGAGATCAGTTTTGCCAGTTTGAGATATACAATGTGTGCTGCTTTTGTTCCATTTTAAGAAACTTGAGGATCTGTTTGCACATCTATTGGATTAGTGGGAAGCACATTTAAATTGCTTCATACATAACAGTTCCCAGTCTTTTGTGAGGCGGTTGTGCCTGTGCCTGCTATTGCTCACCGAATGTGGTTTTTAGCATTTTGAAGCACTGTCTCATACTTTCTCATGTAGAAAATCAACCTTTAGTGTACTACTGCTTTCATGTAGCCATTATAAACAAGAGTTTTCATGCATCCGGGTGGGTGTAAGAATAAATCCTGGATCAATATGCTCCAGTAGATAAAGAATTGGACTTAGAAGCAAATTTCTGTTCCATCATGAACTTGTTTAGTACCAGTGGATGTGTCATTAGCTCTCTGTTTCAGTTCTCCATCTACATCTATCAATGAGGTTAAGGGTGACCAGCTTCAATATATGTGAATTATATGGACATGATAAGTCTCTTTGAATATTAAAATACCTATGGAGAGTATGAAGAGTAACTAAAACATCTCTTATGTTTGTCTCTCCCTGTAAATGACTATCAAAAGGCCAAACTAAATATTACATGTGGTTCTGTGTTACTTTCCTCAATCTCTCTCTCTCTCCCTCTCTCTCTCTCTCTCTCTCTCTCTCTCTCTCTCTCTCTCTCTTATCCCCCACTCCCACTTCTTTTATCTTTTGCTTGGAGAAACTTCTTAAACCTTTCTCCTTTGGTTATCCTCCTGCTAAAATTATCTTCTAAAGCTGGTGCTTCATCCACAAGAAGAAATAACAGGTGATCTGAGCTGAATAGTGAATGGAGGAGAAAGTGTTAAATGCCCACCCTTCCACTCCCCAGCCTGCTAAGGCTGCTTTTGATTTAAAAATAATGATAAAGAGAAATAAAAAGATTCCATATATTATTGACCCTAAGGCATTTGCTGCTCAGAAACAATATCTGTGGATTTGCCTTGTACATTTTTATTATCACCACATTACATTCATATCCTGCCTTTTCCCCTTTTGAGAAGAACCCAAGGCAGCTTACACAGTCACCATTCTCTTCATTTTATTGTACAAGTAAACTTTCCAATTATTTCTTTTTTTCCCTATCTACTTATCAGCTGCTCAGTGATCATTGAACATGATGGGCTCGTTGTCCTTATTTGCAGCCTGAGGTGCTGCAAATGTGGGCAATGTGTTCCCATCCCATCCATCTGAAACAGAAGTGGACTTTAGACCACTTCTTGTATACTGTCTGTGGCAGATGCTCTTCTTGTTCCAGACTTTTGCTACATCCAGGTAGCATCGTGCACCAGCTCTTCCAAAGCCATTTGGCTTGAGGCTTAATTTCTTACTGCCTGGGATTCTTCCCCAAATAGTACTAGCACATGTTCCAGAAATCCCCTATCCTTACCTAGTCTCTGAAAATTGTCCATTGTAATCTGCTGCTTGGAGAAGCCTGATTTTCCTCTTCAAATGCCTTTATCAGTATGCCCAACACAGTGGATGAAGGACTAAAATTGATTTTTTTTTTGTTGGAGTTATGGATATCAGAAGCTTTTTCTCCAAGGACTTTATCTGAGTTTCTGTAGTCAATGGAAATCCTTACAAGTGGATGAACAAGAACACTGGGTTTGCACAGTATGGCAACTGAATATAGGTCACTTCCTGCTGGGTGGTTTATTTTTCACAAACAAGGCACCCTGACAACCCATGACTTGTTCTAGGGGCTCTCTTACCCATGATAGATTGGTGTGTTGTCTGAACCCAAGAGAATAATTTCATCATAAGTTGTTGAAAAACACCACCGAATCATTGGGCTAGAGTGGCCAAAAAGCTGCTGGTTTCCAAAGGAACTGCCTCAACCCTCCCTCTTTTCTCAGCAGTCTCTTCTCCCAATTCTCACAGTCTTTTGCCCCTTCACTTGTTAGCAAAATATTTGTTCTTTGTTGTGGACTCTGTGCATCACACATGCTGTGCCTGCGCAGTACCTGTATTTGGGAAGATTCCCTCAGCTAGTAACAGTTTTTGGCGGGAACTCCACTCCCCCACCTCCTCATATAAATGGGCAGAGTCCCTGCCCTCTTGCCAGTCCATTTTTGACTGTCATTGTCCTTGTGAGCCAACTGCGTGTAATCGGCATGGCAAGCTTGAAGGAACTTGTTATTCTGCCAGCTTCAGCTTGCCTTAAAATTGTCCTTCCTCTGCTCCCCTACTGTAATGTTTGCCCAAGGGATTTTCTTGAGGCAAAATCCTGTATCTTATTGGAAAGGAGAAACTTGTGCAGTTGTTTGATACTTCATAATGTACAATCACTTCACACAGTGTTGTTTCTAAAATTGTGTAACAGGTGCTGATATTAGAACCACTCCCTTTCTGGTGAAGTGCTCCCACTGATTCCTCCTAGCCACTGGAGCCCTAATCTGGCCCTCCCCATAATGTATCTGCAGTTGTAGTGGTTATACCACCGGTAATGGGTTTCCCTTGAACCACACAGAGTCTGGTACTGTCCTGTGAAGGACATATCCCTCCCAAACTCTCTGCAAGGTAGACAGAGTACACTTTACCAATAGGCTGCCACCACCCCTTAATCATCCCCTGCAGCTCAAGGAAGGGGACTTTGGGCCTCATGGATTTGTTGGAGAAAACTGAAACAAGGATGCTAGCCATGCTTCTCTGTTATAGGGTCCCCAATCTGAAACATGCCACTCTTTTAGTCTGAGGCACTGGTATTAGCACTGAATTGGCTTTAAATAAACTGTACTCACCTAAAGTGGATAAAAGATTTATTCAAGAGTTTAAAAAAAGAATAACAGAGGGGAAGAGGAAGGGGAGAGAGGATAAGAAATACAAGATAGTTTACATACTCCTTTGTTATACCACAGTTTTTAAAAGGGTTAGCTTAACCACCCAGCACCTTACTCAAGCAAGAGATTTCTCCTTGAACAGCTATCCCGTTAAGTTTTGTCAGCCTACACACCACTGTCAGTTGGTCTCACTGGAAAAAGACACAATGCAGTCCAATCTGGGGCAGTCTTTTACAGTCTTTCCATAGTAACTGGGCAGAGTTTCCTTAGCCGTCTTGGGGCAAGGGCAACCTCCCACAGCCCTTGCAACTAGAATTATTAGAGTCAATTTAAGCTGGCAGGTCCTATGACCTTGAGGAACACCAACCTGATAAGAAAGTGGTAAATTATCTCAGCTTATTCAAACCATCCCAAGATCAGAGACCCAGGAAGGAAAAAGCCTTTCACAGATTAATCTCTCCCTGCCTGCAGGCTGGATTTCTTCACACAGTACATGAAAGGCTGCCAGTCTTCAGACTGTGACTTGTCCTTCCTGATTCGAGGCACATCAAGAAATGCTGAGCTTTATACCAGAGGGGCCATTGTGTCCATTATGTCAAAGCCATGCAGGGTCCCATCAGCTACATGTAGTTGATTTGCCAACTTCGTGTTCCTACAGGGGATGATGGAACCCTGTTCCTTCTGCTGTCAGAAAAGAAACCAGGCTCAGATACTCATCCTAAACTAAGGGTGAGCGCAAAATGTTTGGAGTAATTCCTCAAGGGAAATTAAATTAGAGCTGGAATTCTCTGGGGGAGGTAAAGAGATCTGCTCTCAATGCATCAGGTCTCTTCTACATCTCTCTGTAGAAGAGCAACAGCAGTGAGTGCAGCCCAGTATTGTGGATCTTATGCTTATTAGGCACTCCCTGACTACTACTGGTGAATCACTGGAAGAATTGAGAAGTGAACTTCAGGGAACACTTCTATCTGAACTGTTGCAGATGAAGGCAGGGGCATGGTCATGGCCACCCATCACTGGTCTCAGTCTGTTCAGAGTTTTACATGCCAAGAACTAAACCTTGGCTAATAAGTAGTTAGCACAGTTGCTTCAGTGGTATAATATGTGTATGGCAAGGCACGTCACTCAGCATTCCTGCCACTGCATTCTGCACCAACTGAAGTTTGTGGACCATGCACTTTATTTAGCTTAAAGGTAGTGCTACATAAAGCTCATTACAGTCATCCAAATGTGAGGTTCTCCATGCATGGACTAATTTTGTAGTTGCTTTATTTATTTATGTAAAACATTTTTATCCTGTCCTTTGCAACAGCCTCAGGACAGCTTGCAAAAGGTTAAAATAGTAATATAAAATACAATTAAAATATTCAATAATAACAACAGTTCAAAAGTAAAGGAGAGGAAAGGGGGGAAAAGAAAGAAGAGAAAGAAAACTTCCATGCATGAGTCTGGCTTCTCCCCAGTGTGGGTTCCTTGATGTTGATGATACTGTTCTATTTGCATCCTGCCCTGGGGAATCTTATTCTTAAAGGCAGGATATAAATAATTAAGTAGAGAATGTGTTCAAACTTAGACTATCTATGGTAGCTCAACAGATAACGGAATTGTTTGCTTACTCTCTGCTGGACTTTGGCACCCCTACTACAGATGTCCTGAAGGATGGTACTGACACTTATCCATTTAGCAGTGGCTGGGGGAGCTATAAAGGGGCTATAAAGACTTCCATGTAATTTAATCAAGCTCCTGACTCTGGCTTCTCAGCCTAAGCAACTCAAGCTAATGTATAGCTGGAACTGCTCTTAGAAAGCCCATTTGTGTTTCCACCCATCTATATGACTGCCTGTCTGTTTCTAGGCCCAACAATCTACCTTGTCAGTACAGGCTTGCCTCTAGACTACCAGCCCTGACATAAAGTTCTAACCTTGCCTGCATTTGGTCACCCTGATTAAGTGGGATGTATATTTGTTTAGCCACCTATATTTATGGCAACTACTCTCTGGAGTAGCCACAGCTTAGCCACAGCTAAGTTCTGCATAGTATCTGCAGCTTGCTTGTAAATTTCTCCCTTTACAAATTAGCAGCAGCGCCTTTTCAATTTCCAATACTGGGATGAGGCTGAGCAAATCTAGACCCGTTATGTGTTCCACTCAGTATTTTTTAAGTCTGTCTTGCCCCAGTTTTCTCCTTAATCTTCAGACACACACACACTCCTACACCTACCTTTGATTTCTCCTGTTCAAAATGCAGTGCTGCTACAAGCTTCCCCCCAGTGGCAATCCCTCCAGGCACTCATTATGTAACTCTTCCTTGCCTCTTGGAACCATCACTAAAGAGATTGATTATTCTGACAAGCTTCCGATCAGTGGGAGAATCATGGTGGTGATGATGGCAGGGTGGCCGGGTGGTGGCAGTGGTGGTGATAGGGTTCTATTCATTGAGGACAGGATGATAATTTTGCAGTCTGCTTAAAGGCAGCCCAAAAAGTGTAGCCTTTTAAAGTCTATCACATGAGTGTGAGAGCAAGAAACGATACAACTATCTAGAAGACAGATTTGGAGCAAAAGTATATATTTAAAAGCCCAGAAACATGGTAATCATCATTAGTCAAATTCACTGAACTTTTACGTTGCAAAGTACTTCAGTCTTTACCTTGTTCACCTTTATTTGCAGAAGGCAATTATAATTTCTATTATGCATACAGGGATCATGAGAAATAGGACCCTTGTGGGTGAACAGGGATTAAATTTAGCTTTTCAAAGAACTCCTGTGTTTTTATTCTGTTAATAAATTAAAATATTTATGGAGCCCAATTTGGTCATCAGGTCTTCAAAGTGGAGTACAGAATATTCAAATAATAGCAAACATTAAGAACAGAATGTTAAAATCCTCTAAAAGAACAGAGTAAAGTTAGCTATCAGCCTGTACAGGCCAACAAACACAGAGTGGAACTGAAATGTACTTTCCACCTGCCAGAAGTGAAGCAATGAATGGGCTAATCCAATCATGCTAAAGAGGAAGTTCCATAATTGGCATGCTGCCACAGAAAAGCCCCTGTCCCACATTTCCACTATGTTCTGTTGCTGATGGGACACATAACAGAGCCCCATACAAAGTTTGCAGCTATGGACAGGTTCATTCAGAGAGAAGCATTCAAATAGCCCCAAGTCACTGGGACTTTATAGCTAAGAACCAGTATCTTAAATTGGGCCTGGAAACAATCTGAAAACCAGTACTGCCAATGTCGGACCAATCTAATATGGTCTACAAAATGCACATCAGAAAACATTTTTGCTGGTTTTTTGACATGTGCTGCCATTTTCAACGCTCTTCAAAAGCAGACCCACATACAACAAACTGCAATAATCTCAAATGGAAAGTGATTAGGGCATGCATCACTGTGGCAAGCAAGGGCTTATTTATCTAAGTGACAGTTTCTTCCAGGAGTGTTTAATGTGCCAGCACCATAAAAAGGAGGAGAAATTCTGAAAGACAGAGGTACTAGTTAGCAGGGGCTCTAAAGCAACCATCCATCTTTTGGAATATGTCACCTGTGCAGCTAGTCCTTTTTCTGCAAAATATCCTACTAGGGAACAACACAGACAATGTCACACCCCAAGTGTGGCATAAAATGATTCTGTATCTGGAAGTAGTCTTATATTTCTGGGTAAGCAAAGGGCCTTACAAAGAGCTCCACTGTACATTGCTTATTTGATTCCATGTAAGTCACCTGCAGTCCCCATATTTGGATCTGTGGTCAGCAAGGGCGGGTTATTTTTGCCTTTCCTCTTAGGCTCATTTACATGAGATACTGTGCTTTGTGCATAGTTGCTTGTTTCCGTTCTTTCTTTGGGACTAATATGGACAATGGAACTGATCTGTGAAAGGATCCTGCTATAGGATAAGGGGTTGAATTTGATTATTTTCTAGTCCCTTTCTCTCCCATAAATCTGTGTTACTAACACACACTAGCATCCTGTCCACTGTGCATGAAGTGTCTGAGTGTTTTCAAGGAGATGTGTTTAAGCACTTAGCAAAGCTCTCTGAGCTTAATTTGAGGTTATTTTTTAGTGAAGGGAGGTAGGAGGATATGAAATCCACCCCTTTGCATTAGCACTATGCATTTAAAAGTTTGCCTTACTCCTTCTGCGCAATTGCTATGCAATTTAGATTCAGAAGATGACCTGGTTCATCCACATCCAACTTTGAATGACTTGTTTTTGAAGAAAGAAAGTAGATATGCACATATATGTTCCCCATAGAATTGATGAAGGAATTCAAAAATGCTTGGAGGTTGGTTGGTTGGTTGGATGACAATGTAGTCTGTTGAATTCAACCATTAATCTGTGTCATCATGCAGTATTTCTGTTTATCAAGCTAATTATTGGAGTGGTACCTGTGGAGTATATGTGTGGGTTTTTTTAAGTGCACAGTCACATTAGACTCCTGCTGGTGCTTGAAATACTCAAACTCTTATTTCAGATCTTGCCTATATACCCATAGGCCATCCAGGACCCCTTCTTGGCATTTCTTCCCTGAGGGGCTGTCACAGATCTCCATAGTGCCTGCAGCTCTCATTTTAAGAACTTGGTTCAAGAGATTTAGCCTTTAATTCTGCCTGCCTGCCTGCCTGAATTTTAAACAAGCAAGAAGTTGAAGAATCTATTTCCATCTGTTGCTAAGAAAAAAATGACAACCCCAGGGGTTAATCTGCACAATATTCCCTTGTCAAGAAAATACAACCCAGGTCAAAAGCAATAACCACAGAAGAAGAAGAAAGCAGTGGTTCACTTGCCTAGAAGATTCTTCCACAATCCATTATTTTTATGATGAAGGGGGATCTATAAATAATTTTAATAAATCACAAATAAGCATACCACACTAAGAAAAATATGCACAATATACAATAAGGAAAGGCAGAAAAATCCCAGTTCCCTAACAAATCTAAGATTGTAAAATTTATTTTTCATTAATGTGTCTATATGAAAAAATACTGAAAAGCCCAGCATTGTCTCTTATAACTGCCTGAGCTGTTACCAGCTTTTCTGAGATCCTTTTAATGCCGGGGTTGAAGTAGTACTCTGTACTGATGCCATCTTAACATGTGGGGAACCTAATTTCCAGTTCTAAAAATACAAACTCATTTGCACTCTTAAAAAACAAAAACAATCTGAAACTTTCAATGATTATTCTAAAGCAGGAATTTGAAAATAAGGACATGTGGTTTTCTTATATTCTGAATGCCTTTTTTGGTAGAAAGGCAGGGTACAAGTCTAATAAAGCAGTTGTAAGCTACTTTTGTATCCAGAAATTTTGACCTATAAACCTTATCCTCATCTTCCTCCAAAATGACACAACCACGAAGAGGCAGGTACACATACGTAGAAGTACATACACTCCCATGAACTTCAAATTTCAATGCAGCATTTAGGATCTTTGAAGCTTTTTATGCTAGGTTGGCTGAAACATGATCTTCACTATCTGCCATGTCTTGAGGGAATGGGCATCATTTTTGAACTGTGGTGGATTTCAGAGGAGCCCAATAGAGAAAGCAGACAATGTTCATTTCCTATTTATTTTACTACAGCATACTTCACCAGAGAGTTAGCCCTATCTGTGGGAAGCAATTTGGTAAGATGATTCTGATTTATCCATATTAACAACTAAATAATTTGTCTTCCAGGAGAAGAGGAGGAAGAAGAGCCCGAGATGCCAGTTGGGCCTCGTCCACGCCCAATGTCTGAACTGCACCTCAAGGAGAAAGCTGTACCTATGCCAGAAGCCAGCGCTTTTTTCATCTTCAGCCCTAGCAACAGGTATTTTGAGGTGGCTGTCTCATGGTGATAAAGCATAAGCTACTATGGAAGTCTGGAAAGCATGTGATTGTAGAGGCATGTCTTCTTCCATGCAGCCCACCTCAAAAAGTCCATGCTGTAAAGCTCCAAAGACTTTTTATAAGAGACAACAATATTTTGGAAAAAAGGAAGAGCAAAAAGCAAACTAGCTGGATAGCTGAACAAGTGTTCTGAGCAGAAAATATACTATAGTTTATATGCAGTGCCTCCCTGCTTTGGGAAAAGGAAACTATATTTAGGTTCAGCAAAATCTTTTTGACCCTTCTCGATAGGGCAATAAAGTTTAAAGCAACTGAAATATTGATTGTGCTAGACATGATAATCTAGCAACCAGAAACTGAATTCATAGGGAGAAATAGAGATCTCTAAGCTAACCATTTGAAAGAATGATGTATACCACAATCTAATCATATAGATTGATTGCATGAATGCTTGTGCACACCAATCTTGAGATCCTTGCTCTCCTCAGTTACAATTCTACATCCATTCAAGGTGAAGGGTTATGGCTTTCTTTCTAAATCAAGACACACTCTCTAGTGGCTCACAACACTACAATCAGGTCAAACAATTGGGGCCTTGGCATTAAAGGGAGAAGGGGATCAAATTGACAACCAGGGTACAAGTTCATGTTTATTTAGAACATTTCTACAGAGGTACTTAAAAGGCAAACCCTACAACAGCTATAATACAAAAATGCATTATTTATTTTAAAGAATTTTTACTTTGTCAGCTAAAGAGACTCATAATGTGGCTTACATAAGCTCAATATCAATGAAAGTTCTTGCTTTCAGTTTTACAATCTAAACACAAAACAAAAAAGAAATGAGGAATGAGGAATGCATACTCTCACACCATTTCCTAAAGTGAAAAATTAATCATTTATTATAAGAAGTGTAACTTAAAATCAATCTTTTGTGAAGGAAAGGATACAATTTGAAATCGGCTTACTGCTTTTGAAGGATTCTAGACATGATTCTGGTTCTCTTACCAGTTTCATCAATGGGAGAGAGAGGTATGGGCTGGCAGGGAAGGACTTTGGAGGACCCACTCAGTAGAAAGAGTTGGAGGGCTCCCAAATGCAGCAGGACTGGTTTACTACAGTTTAAAGTGAAGTAGCACACCATGACATCTAAATAATCCCCTTCCTTATTAAGATGGTTAGGGTTAAGAATTTAAAATTACCTGAGCTGCACTATTGGATATGGAGTGGGTGACAGAAAAGCCCAGACAATTGCCTCTACCTGTAGCCAGACCACAGTTCATACAGAGATGTTTGAGCTATCCACTGAAGAGTTGTTTGTAGCTCTTAATGTCTATTATCCATTATTTAATTTTGGAGAAATTGGACAGGGCAGTATGCAAAAGAGAGACCTAAATGAATAATGCAGAGGGGTACATATGGGCCCATTTCTCCAGACAGTGAAGATCAGCTAGGAGGCAATATTGCAGTAGTTGTTTAGAATAAATATCTCCCTTACCTGATACATTGTAAGGGATATGGGCTAATACCCAAATTTGCCAGCATGTGCCATGACTCACTGGTAGCACAACAGGGAATTGGTGGTTCAAAAAGCAACCAGAAGTGAGCAGAAAGACTCATTTCTAGAACAAGGTAGTTCAGTAATCCTTGCAAACTTTGGAACCACTATTTTTCTGTTGCATGAGCGGCGGATCCTGTTTGTGCAATGGAACAAGAGGGAGCATGGCAGTAGTACTAGACATTGTCCATATTCTTTTTTCTGTGTTTTGTAAACAGAAAAGTTTAGAAGTATCACAGAATCATAGAATGCCATGGATCATTATCATAGAGTGTTGTAGATCAGCTATCTGTTGATTCCCCTGATTGGTGTTCCATCTAGGCTACTTTTAGCTAGTTTGCTAATCAGGATATTGTGGGGCATGTTGGCTTTGCTGAAGTCAAGATAGATTATGTCCACAGCATTCTCACAATCCATTTGGGAGGCTACCCAATTAAAAAAATGAAATTAGATTAGTCTGGCAGGATTTGTTCTTGAGAAATTCATGTTGACTTCTGGTAATCACTGTGTTATTTTCAATGTGCTTTGAGACTTACTGCTTTATAATTTGCTCCAGAATTTTACCAGGGATTGATGTCAGACTGACTGGTCTATAGTTCCCAGGTTCTTATTTTTTCTTTCTTGAAGATGGGGACATCATTAGCCTTCTTTCATCATCTGGCACTTCTGTCTTCCATGAATTTTCAAAGATGATAAATAGTGGTTCTGAGAGATCTTCTGCTTGCTCTTATATGACTCTGAGATGAAGTTCATGGGGCCATGGATATTTGAATTAATTTAGCCCAATTAGAAGTTCCTTGACCATTTGCCTCTCAATCTTGGGCTGCCATTCTGCCCCTTCAGCTTGTACTACACCTTCATCAGGAAGGTTCTAGTACTTTTAGAAGACTGAGCCAAAGTAGGAATTGAACACTTCTGCCTTTCTTTTGTCATCTATTATCATTGTTCCTCCATGCTGCGTAATTGAACTCCCTTCTCTTCTGTCTGTCTTTTGCTCTGGATTTATTTGAAAAAGCTTTTTTTGTTGCTTTTAGCTCCCCTCGGTATCCTCAGATCATTCACTGCTTTAGCCTTCCTAATGTCACCTCTGCAGTTCCTTGGTAGCCTGGCCTTCCTTTTACCTCCTTCAGATTTGTTTCTTTTAGGTTTTTTTGAAGCCACATGGGTTTCCTCTGTGGTTTACTATTCTTTTTTCTTGTTGGAATTGTTGTTGAAGCATTTCTGTTTTTAAAGATATCCCATCCTTCTTGGGCGCCTTTTCTTTTTAGAGTGGCTTGCCATGGGACTTCATTTAACATCACTCTGAATTCACTAAAGTTGGCTTTTTCGAAATCCAGGGTACATGTTTGGTTACATTTACTTTTAGCTTCCTTTATTAATGAGAATTCAAGTAAGACAAGGTCACTTTCCCTCAGAGTTCCCGTAGCCATTACTTTGTCCAGTATGCCTTCCCTGTTGGTTAGGATCAGGTCGAGTAAAGCTATACCTCTCATTCCTACTTCTACTTTTTGCTGGAGGGATTTATTAGTGATACATGTTAGGAATCTGTTAAAGTGCCAGAGTTTGACTCCCAACAGATACAAGGGAAATTGAAGTCCCCTATAATGATGGCATCATGCCTCCTTGAAATAATGGCAATTTGTTTTTCAAAAGGTTCATCCTTTTAAATATCTTTATTACATCAGATAAGAAACAAAAACAAACAAATTTCCTAACATGCACAAAAATAAGTAAGAGGGAAAAAGAAAAACTTTTGAAAGTCCTTATCCTCTCCTTGACAGGGTGGACTTCAATACTATACTTCTTTTATTTCTTTTTCCATTTATATTAATCCAGATACACTCAATGGGATTATTGGTCTCTTATTCCTGTATTTCTTTGCAGAGAAATGTATCTTTAACATAAAGTACAACTCCACCTCCTATTCTGTTACTTCTGTTCTTTTTAAACAAGTTATATGCTGCAATTTTTGAATTCCATACATGGGAGTCATTCTACCAAGTTTCAGTTATGCCTATCAGGTCATATTTGCCCATATGTACTAAGAATTAAAGTTCATGTTGTTTGTTTCCCATACTTTGGGCATTGGGATATAGAATAAGGCTGCATTAATTATTCCCTGGCTGCTTTTCTACATTTTTGGGAGACTAGTATTAGGCCCAGCTGGAGTTTCTTTCACTGTTGCAGTACAAAGTCTATTGTCAGTTGATGTTGAATCCAATGTAACCCTCCCTCCCCTGCAGAAAGCCCTCCTGATAAACTTCTTCATGCTGTGGCCAAGTACATCCTTTCCTTACTTTGTAAGGTGCAACCCATTGCTTGCCAACAGTTTGTCTTCCACGAAGTTTAGTCCATGGTCCCAGAATCCAAATCTCTCATGTTTGCACCATCATGGTAGCTAAGAATTCACGTGGAGTATCCTTCCCCATCTTTTCCTCTTCTGCGAACTAGAAGGATTGAGGAGAAAACTGAGCCCCAATGTTCTTAATTTTCTTCCCTAAGGTTATGAATTCTGGTGTAATTTCCTCAAAGCTCCTATTGGCAGAGTCATATAAGAAGGAAGGGATATGTGTCAGTGGGTTGTGTATTAGTAGCTTGTACAAGCACTGGTAGTCTGTTAGTTATGTCATTAATCTTAGCTCCAGGAAGACAGCACACCGGACAATTCCATGGGTCTTCCCAACATGTTTTTCCATCATGAGGGAATTCCCTACAACTATTCATTCCATTTGCTGTTCTAGTGCTCTCACTTTTTCTTCCAACAGAGCTACTAGCTTGTACTTGTTGCACATGTAGGTCATGTTGACCTCAGGCAAGAAAACAAAGATTGCATGGACATTGCAGGTCACTATCTCTGGGGAGTCTCCTCAGTCCATATTTTCTGCTACCTTTGGATTCTACCTTGCTGGTCCTGTAGTAATAACCAGTGCTTTCTGCTGTCTTCCCTGAAGGTTAACAGTACAGTCCTACCAGTAAGTGGAAGTGTGTTGTAAGGAAGAATACAAGGGGAGGGACAACTAAGGGTGGAAAAGAAAAAAAGTTAGGGACCTCCCCCTTGACCTCCTTCACTGAAATCCTGCATCAGACACCTGTTAGCTCTCCCTGTTTGTTTGCTTGCTCTGCTTGCTCACTCTCTGGGAGCTTGGTTGATTGTATCCAGCAGTCCCCAGACCAGCCAGGGCAGCTTCCTCTGATTTGCTTGGTTAGGAGTCAGGAACCTAAATGAATCTCACCACCCACACAGCTGCTGATAGTACTCAGGCCACTCCCTTTCAGTTGTAGCTCCCAGGAGCACATGGTCACTTGAAAGTGCTGTGTGCTGATGAGCCTATTGCTCAATAGTCATGCTGACTAAACTTGAGGCAAAACAGCCCCCCAAACCTTCCTCATCTAACACACAATGCAAATAAATCAAATCAGCTTCTAACACGGTTAACAATTAAAAGCTTAGCTAAAGCAAGTCTTGTCTATATAGGCCAGGTCTTAAACCTGAAAAACCTGAGATATCAAAGAACAGGAGACCTATGAAAGAAGATTTCATAGGTTTCAAAGAACCTATGAAATCAGGGCATGTATCAAAATTTTCATTTTGATACATGCCCAAAGTTTCATTTTCTCAACAATGCCTGATAGATATGATGTGTCTTTCTTTCTTTCTTTCTTTCTTTCTCATTCTTTGCAGGTTTCGGGTCCACTGCCATCGCATCGTAAACGATAACATTTTCACCAACCTGATCCTCTTTTTCATCTTGCTCAGCAGCATCTCTCTAGCAGCTGAGGATCCAGTCCGACATTACTCCGTTAGAAATCAAGTATGCCTCTCATTCTTCCTTCTTCCTCTGCAGCTTGTTCGGAATGAGGTTCAGCAACCAGATGAGAGGAGCCTACTAAGTCCTTCCACCTGCCTGCACTAAATCCACATATAGATTTCAAATTCTGCACAGATACACCTATTGATCATTGCTGTGTGCAGTCTACATTTCAAATTTATGTCAATTTAAATTTTGTACTTATGATTGAATCATACAATTAAGCACACATTCACATTTTGACCTGGTATGATTTTATTTCACTTCTAGAAATAAGAATTTTATTTGAGCAAGCTTTATATGGCAGAAGCTGAGAGAGGTAATAAATAAATAGCAGAGAGATTTCTAGTAGGTGGACAAACAATGTCAGGGGGTGCAGAAAATAGTATTTATGAGGGACTATAGGAAGTTGTGAAGATGTTCATATTCTGACTATTGAAAGTCCTGGTACTAATTTCTGAGCCTTCATTATATACCTAATACCTATTTCTAGATTATACTCATAAGTACATATCTCAGTTTCTGGTTAACTCTACATTTTCAGGTAAAGAAGCTTTTCTGTGATTAGAGTGTGCATATTGTTTGTCCTCCACCTCTTCGTAGCCATTGGCTTGTCCCATCCCATTTTGGAGTTCAAATTTTGATGAATCTGCGACATGTATCAATGTCATCTGTAGATCACTCAGCTTGTTAATTTCTTCTGAGTACTTATTTGTATGTAGAAAATAAATAACTGATATATGCAGGAGGAAATGAAAATGAATAGGAAACATGAAAAACAAATATTTTAACTTCCTGTAGTATTGCATTTGCAATATGAGAAAGGATATAGCTAAAGCACAAACATTGTTTATGTATCACCTTAACTACTATACATTTTAGCAAAGGATCATCAAAACTGTAGTTAGCTGAGAGTTCTAAAGGTCCCTTCTTGTAGAACTATAATTGCCATATATCCCTAGGAAGAGGGAACAGCTATTATGGCTGTGAGACTCTACAAAATTATCTGAGGGTAAGTCCCATTAAAATCAGTGAGGCTTATTTCTGATTTATAGGATTAGACTGCAAACCATTTCAGTCACTAACTCAGATGCCAGCAAAGAGTGAAAGACTAGATAATATATGAGTTTTTCTTTATAGCCATGAGTCTTAGGCACTTGTTTTCTTAAAAACAAAAGAGCAAGCAAACATGTTCAAGAATGTAAGTTCCATGCTGGACACTGGGGGCAGGATACCCGCAGCTCTTATTGTAATTTCTTTGGGAGATGTATGTCAGGTCTTCTGTTGCTTTATACATTTCCTTGCTCTGTATTGGAAATGGAGGAATGGGGTCATTAGAAAAGGGGAGTACCATAGAAAGCATAATTTAGATTCCAAATGCTGCTTCTGTTTCAAAGTCTCTCCATAGTCATTACAGTGTTCCCCTTTCTGGGATATTTGGGACCTAACTTAACCATGATCCAAAAGAAAAGAAACATTGAGTTTGTACCATTTACACTGGGAGAAATCCAACAGACTTGAAATTAGAAGCATCCCACTTTTGTTGAATTCAGTTTACAGTGTGATTTGGGTAGTGTATGTTAACCAGTTCTCTAACAGCTGTGTAAAACAAAGGCAACTTTTAACATCCGGTATTACATATACTGTATCAATGAGAAATTAACAGCCTAATTTAGTGTTCAGTATTTACACAGCAGAAGCCTTTGATTGTGTGGATCACAAGAAACTGTGGCAAGTCCTTAAAGAGATGAAAGTACCAGACCTTTTTATTTGTCTTTTGAGAAACCTGTATGTGGGTCAAGAAGCAAAAGTGAAAATTGGACATGGAACTACTGATTGGTTCAAAATTGCGAAAGGAGTACTGCAAGGCTGTATACTGTCCCCCTGCCTATTTATTTATTTAGAAAATTTCTATGCCGCCCCATTCGCCGAAGCCTATTTAACTTATATGCAGAGTGCATCTTGCAAAAGGCTGGGCTAGATGAATCACAAGTAGGAATTAAGATTGCTGGAAGAAATATCAACAACCTCAGATACACAGACGATACCACTCTAATGGCAGAAGGAGAAGAGAAACTAAAGAGCCTCTTGATGAGGGTGAAAGAGGAGAATACAAAAATGGGCTTGAAATTCAACATTAAGAAAACTAAGCTCATGGAATTCGGTCCTATCACTTCCTGGCAAACAGATGAGGAAGAAACGGAGGTAGTGACAGATTTTAATTTTTTTGGGCTCTAAGATCATCGTAGACAGTGACTGCAGCCAAGAAATTAAAAGACTCTTGTTCCTTGGGAAGAATGTGATGGCAAATCTAGACAGCATACTAAAAAGCAAAGACATCACCCTACCAACAAAAGTTTGTATAGTCAAAGCTATGGGTTTCCCAGTTGCAATGTATGGCTGTGAGAGTTGGGCTATAAGGAAGACTGAGCGCCGAAGAATTGAGGCCCGTGAATTGTGGTGCTGGAGAAGACTGCTGAGAGTCCCTTGGACTGCAAAGAAATCAAATCAGTCAATCTTAATGGAAGTCAACCCTAACTGTTCTATAGAACGTCAGATACTGAAGATGAAACTCAAAAACTTTCAACTAACGAGAAGGAAGGACTCACTGGAGAAGACCCTAATGCTGGAAACAATTGATGGCAAAAGGAGAAGGGAATGGCAGAGGATGCGGTGGCTAGATGGGGTCACTGGGACGATGGGTGTGGGCTTGGGTGGACTCCAGAGGATGGTGGAGGACAGGAAAGCCTGGGGTTGTGAAGGGTTGGACACAACTTGGCAACTAAAGAAACAATTTACACAGCATAGATTGCAGGTGCACATACAAATAAAGTACTTGATAAATGTGAACAGGTAGGAACATGAGTATGTATCTCTATTTATATGGGAAAGAATGGATGGTACTAAAATCACCTAATGTTAGCTAATGAGGGCTCACATGATGTAATATAACCTAAGGAAACCTTTCTTACACAGAGGTATCTAGCAAAGAGGGAGAAAACTAGACTTGATTCCTTATTTGTGGCAAGGCAGAGAGATTTTTGTGTATAAAGAGGAGTTTTTAGTTATGCAGAGCTCTGCTGCAGTATTGCCCATATGCAAAGTTATCCCCCAGTGAGAACTGGATCCCAGAGCAGAGCTGAGACCAGCCCTCTTGGGTGGGTCTACACTCTTGTACTATCCTCTTCACTATTTAATAAATTTTCTAATTTGTCAATGTTCTCTTGATTCCATTTGAGGGTGACCTTTTTTGCATAGCAATTCAAGTGAATATGATTTTAATAAGAATAAGCATACCATCTGGTGTTCAACCTGCTGGTAAACAAGGCTTTGTATGCAGGTTCTCTGTAATCATTTCCATTCAACACATAATTTATTATACGCAAAAGTCCTGTGCTAAAAGCTGTGTTTAACTCAGATTGCCTTCCTATATGCAGCAGCAGCATCATGCTACTCCAGGGAAAGGAAGCATCTGCAAGCCTGACATGATCAGAGTGTTAAACTAGGTTTATTAGGACTACAGGATATTAGGTCAGCTGTTAGGGATCATCTGTAAATATTTATTTATTTTTATTTGTTTGTTTGTTTTGGAATTTATATACTACTCAATTTGCATGGTGTGCTCAGTACCTATATGTTATGGAACAAATTCCTATCAAAAAGATTTCTAGCTGCAGTGCATGACACTAAGACAGCATTCGTATACTGCTTAGCATCCTGTAAGCCCTGTTGAATAAATGAGACTTACCTGATCAGCAGACATATATGGTGCTGCACGGTAAACCTAGGTTACGCTAGAATGTTATCTCTTTCTCAGATCCTTGAAATTATAAAGAAGCATGAAGTTAATTGGGTTGACATCCTGAAATAACTTAATCTGAAATTGTTTTGAAGAGTACTTCTAACTTCAGTGATTCTTCCTGGCAATAATGCAGACTGTGGTGCCTGGATTTGACTTACTAGATATTATTGGCCCATATTAATTATTTTTTTAAATGTAAACTATTTGTCCAACCATTTAATTTGTTACTTCTTATACATTCTGTAAATGCAGACAATAGACTTGCTATAATCTTATTTAACTGTTGCAATTAAGTACCATTCCACTGAATTCAACAGAGTAGCTTCATAATTTTATGTCACTATACTCAATCCAGTCATCTTTAATTGCATCTGCATGGAATTTGGTTCATAAAGCTTAAAGCTGGGAGGAAAGATCAATTGGGTGACACAGCCTTTCTTCTTGCCTTGGTTAACAATTGCTCCCTAACGTACTTTTACACATGTTCTGTCCAATTGGCTTTTCAATTGTGAAGTGATGAGGTTTCTGTGCTTCCCCAAGAGACAATAACTCTGTAAGGTTTAATCAAACTAACTGTGGAGTTAAGTGAAGGGGAACACAATTGCAAATTGTACTTCCAACAATGTATTTAACAGCATTCAGGGGACAGAGGGTTTGATTGTTAACATGGCTGTTTCAGCATCTCATCTGTATATGGTTGAATATAAGCCTCATTTGACTTAAGAGCAGAACTCTGGTTGCAGATATAGTGAGTCTTAAGAACCTTATCCTATGTTTACTCATAAATAAACAGTTAGGATCTGAATGCCATGTATGCTTTTTTGTTTGAATATCGTTTTACAGTAGCGTAGGATTTGATAATATATCTTGGGCTGCTTTATATTCAAACAAGCGACTAGAGATAAAGTAGAACCTATTTTCTTTTTGTTCACCCTTGTAACAAAACACAGCTGAATAAATGTAATATAATGTTCCATTAACTGGACAGCCATCTGAGTGGGATGGTGTAACATGGTGTCCTGCAACAGCAGTGGGTTGGTCTCAATGGCCTTCATGGCCCCTTCCAACTCTTCTATTCAATGATTCCATAGCAATTTGAACATATGGTTTTCCTCTAATTATTTATCATTTGCACAAGAGAAGTAGAACAAACTTGCATAAAAATAGTTATAAAAAGGGTGTTGCACATTTTCTTCTAGACATAGGTGTTGTTCTATTTTCTGGTTTGGAATTTAATTTGGGAAATGTTAGAAATGTCTGCTGTTTGAGAGGAAAATCTCTTGCTTTATAATGAAAATGTACATGCTGAAATCATGAACAAAGAAAGATGCCATTTAAATGTGCTTCTTGTAGCCTGTTCATAGCCTTCACCAAGATGTTGCAAAGCTACTTCCTCCGTGTCCCTTTTCACTCCCCACTTCCACCCCTCCCACTAAAATGGTTGCACTTTTTCATTATGGGCTGTGACTTGCTTTTGCAGGGATCACTCACACATCTCCCCTTCCTCATCCCCTTTCCCCTTTTGTTTTACAGATTCTCTTTTATTTTGATATATTTTTTACTGTCATTTTCACCATTGAAATTGCTCTGAAGGTAAAATTCCCATTTTCTTTTCCATTATCTTCTCACTCATGAGCCCACTAGTTCACTGCTGCTGTCTGTTGCTAACACGTGCACCTATTTGTCTTGGCCACACTCCGTAATCACTAACCCAACTGTGCTTATTTTTCAGATCCTAGGCAATGCAGATTATGTCTTCACTAGTATCTTTACATTAGAAATTATTCTTAAGGTAACCAATCTGAGCAATACACGTTTCTCTCTTGCCTTTGCTTTGTCTTCTGTACTGCTTTAGAACCCTAGTGTTATCCCCATGGATAGGACATCCTTTGTTAGCTCAGTAGTGGCTGTGTATGTTTTTAAAAATAGTTCCATTTTAATGTTAAAATCCCGTTGCTTTTTATAATTGTTAGTGCCTTGCCATGTTTTAACCCAAAGAAATTGCTTAGAAGACTCAAGGAAAGGCAGAAGTCCTTGAGCATAGTCCTGTCCTCACCATTTCAGACAGTGATACCTACTCACTTCACTGAAAAGGAATGGTTTTATTTTTGAGTCTTCCCTAGAAACATCTTGCGCAAAACAGTGAAGTTTTATATAGAGTACCAAGTGGATTATTAATATTCTTTCATTGCAATGGCCCTCTTAGCATCCATACTAATTTGCACAGGCTTCTTGCGCTTTTGAATTGAAATAAGCATTTCAGGATGATACAGCTGGACTGCACAACTCATGGCATTCCTGACCAAATGCTGCACAGCATTGCATGGTAATCCCCTAGCAGTTGCTAGAGTGGCCAGAAACAAAGAAGGACTGAACTCCTGGATCTTGGATAGTCCTCAACTACTAAATCCCTAGTTCTGGGAAAGAGCATAAACTATTAATTTGGCCCAGTGGCTCTCTTCACCTTTTTCTTATAAATGTGACAGTAGTTTCTGATGTCTGGCTGAAGGGCAATTATTGTTGATCAACTTACATATGCACACCTAACATGCTATCATACATGCTATCACTCATATACTCTAATATATAATTAAGAATATGAATCCACCTTTGAAGGTGTGCTATTGCTTGCACCTTACTAGTATGCAAACTCCAAACAGAATAAAAAAGGAAAGATGTATATAATCCCAGTTCTTTGACTAATTGACACTTAGGCATTGGTCAAACATCTTGTTCTATAGCTTCTCACATATTTGCACATCCATAATCTCAACACTGATAGTACAATTAAACTATATAAAGGGCTATAGCAGTACCTTTATCCCCTAACTGTGCATTACCAACCTATTCCCATGGTCCAAAACACAAATTCCAATGCCATCACTGCCCTGATACAAAAGCTGCAACCAGGTTATACAATTTGCTGTGCCACTGAATCCTTCACCAAGAATAAACACACATTAATGAAACTCAACAGAGCTTCCCATTCTGATTTCAATGGTGCCTCCCCATTCTCTTTAAGATTGCCATACAAAATGCAAATTCCAAGAGGCGTCTACTATCTTTGTTATGGCAAGAACCCTCCCTTCTCCCAACCAATTATATCCTTATGTATAAATTCTCCTTGAAGTGCAGAGTTTATACTTCTTTTCTGGTTTATGTCTGATAGAGTAGTTGTTTCTTCCTAACTTTATTTGGGTTTGTTTTTTTTTTTGGTGACTGTATAAATTTGATTTATTTTCCACCCTATTCAGCACATCTTTGATAAAGACTGGCTGGAAACAGCTGGGTTTTCTGGCCTGAACATGTCCTGAGTTTTGCACAATTTTAAGGTCACAGCTAAGGTGGTTTCTTCTTCACATTCTAACAAATACTACTATGTGAGAATACTTAGACATGAGAGATAATGTTACAGTCCCATTTGCAGAGAATGCTTTCCTTGTAGCGATCAAGTATGGCTTTCTATAAGGAAAAAGAAACTTATGTTGGCTGTAGCTCTTAACTCTTTGGTTCATTTGGATCTGGTAAATAACGGAAAAACAAAAATGTTGCTACTTTTAATCTATCATGTGACTGGTGTGACATAACTAAGTGTGCAGTCCTATGTAGAAAATGCCCTACAGAATGAGCTCTTACTGCAGAATTTCAACTGTTCTGCAGTAAGAGCAATTTAGAGACTGTGCACAGAATTTCTAAAATAATAGATTCTGTGCTTTTTCCTCACTTGCCAAAACATAAATGAAAGATTATACTAATGGCTATATTCAGCCTTTTGTTCCTAAAGGAAAATATTACCTGCAAATGAACCCTGGCATAACTTAGTACTGTTCTGATTGAGTTAACATTAGGTGTTTCAAACTTGAAGAGGTTGCAAATTTTAATTCAGACCCATCCCTGTTAATACTGTTGGTAAGTGTAGATACCAGACAGGAGATGCTTTTTCTGTGAACAATGTTCCCTTTGTGATGTGGAACAAGTATTAAGAACAATAGTTTGAGTTATACATAATTGTATTGATAAAGCTATACTTGTGTGATTGGAGCAGAAATATAACATTTTATTCAATCAGTAAGATTCATGGTTTAAGAACTTAACAGTACTCCTAAAACCTGCAAATCTGGATCTAATCTCTCTTGGAAGGAGTTTCCAAGGGATGACAGCACTATGAAAAAGCTCTTCTTCATGATGTTCATCATCAAAAGTATCAAAAATTCCATTAGAAGAGGAATGTGAAAGGATGTCGAAATAAATGATATGTGGTATATGTGGATACTCACATGGAAGAAGGCATTCATTGTCCAGGATGTTTCTTTACTGTTGTGCATAGAATTAAAGAAATCCATTACTAGTCTTTCCTTAGAAGGGTTGGATGCTATTTGCAACCTTTTCTTGAAGATGCTTTCCTGAAATAATAACTACTCCTTTCATCTTTCTATGAACCTTTGCGCTAAAATGTTTATACCTGTTCTGTAGTACCACATTGCATTGCTGCTCCGTTTGCTTGCTGTGCAGAGAGCTTTTGATACTGCTAATGGCAAAGTTTGTGTTTCTGTGTGATTGCCCACAGATGACTGCTTATGGAGCTTTCCTCCACAAAGGCTCCTTCTGCAGGAACTACTTCAACATCTTGGACCTGTTGGTGGTTAGCGTATCTCTCATCTCCTTTGGGATCCAGTGAGTGACATATTTTCAGCTGGGAAAATCCAGTGCACATGAAGAGTGGGGAAGGGTGATGAAACAAATGGGAAATGCCATGTGTGGAGTACACTAGCTTCTTTAAGGTGTGATGTTGATTCTCATTACAAATTATTGGACAGTCACATCTGGCAACAGTTTCTTCTGTTTACAATTGCCCTTTTTCTGCTAGGTTTCACAAGAGACTCTTTGATTATTGCTGTTTTTGCCTCTCTTGCTAGAAATCAGCTGCTGGTAGCTCCACTTACCTGCTGAGCTTTTCAAGCTCTAGTCTTGTGTCCTCCATCTGCTACAAAAATATTTGTATATGTCTTAAGTGTGAAATCTGTTGGGGCTTTCCATTATGTGAAGTATAAAGCCCACATGGTTCACATTTTGAGCAAAGTGAAGAGGATATCATCATAATTTTAAAAAGTGCCATTGATATGCATAATGCTTCAAAGGGTAGAACAAATCCTTCTTCAAGAAGCATAACATATGAAATTCAGCATAAGAGAAACCAGAAGAAGGTGGTGAAGGAAGCAAAGATGAGGTAAACAGGGAAAGATTATTGATCGTTTCAGTTACATGAAATGGCTTGTTTACAGGCTTAAGTGCAATAAGGACTAGAGGACTGAGCCAAAAGCTTCATGGGATAGATTGGGTTTAAGGTGTGATTTGAAGAAATTAACAGTGGTGGCATCATGCAAGTATTCTGAGATGCAGTTCCAAAAATACCGAGCAGCAAGGAAAAAGAGGGCTGAGAATTTTTTCAAGGAGGAAATGTCTTCAGGTGCTGTCCTGGTAGAGCAAAGGTCATGGTGTATCAGAGTATAAGAGCAGAGAAAGAAGTAGGAACAAAGCTTTGAAGGGCCTTGAAGATAAGGTCAAGGCACTTGTGATGGATTTGGGGACAAACAGGAAGCCTGTGCTAGGGAACAGGTGTTAGGGAAGCATGTGAGACAACAGAAGCCTCTGTCATGCCTGACGTCTCGACAGAGACGGCACCTCACGAGAAAGATTCAAATGTTCAAAATGAGAACCAGACATTAGAGCAGGGTGACTTATGCTTGGAGCCCAGTAACCAAATGATCCCTCCCCAGCCTGACTTGGGAACTACTAAACAAATAGCTCCCCCACATACCCTTTGCTCCCTGAAGAAACAGCCCCGTCTCAGCCTAGTCATGAGGCTTCTGAGCAGGGGACTTCTCCCCATTCTGAATTTGAGAAGCGTGAGCCAGGTACCCCCCACGCTCTTACGCTGTGGCTCCTGGACAGGCTCCAGAAGATACAGAAGGTGAACTGTCCTTAGTCCACGCAAGCCTGCGACATAGCTTACGACAATTGGAACGGAAAAGACAAGACAAAGCTTCGTCCTGCCCAAGAGCGGAAAGACGTGAGAGGCAAAGCTAATCCCACATGGTCTCCTCGGAGGCATCACAAAGATAGAGGCAACTGACTAGTTTAGACCTTTGTAGTAGAGCTTATCTGTAGTATCGTAAATCTTGTAGAAAGTAGCAATAAAAGACTTTAGTTCTATTGCCGGCTACAGTGTGAACTAATTAACCTCACCACACGACAGCCTCCAAAGAGAAGTCTGCAGTAGTCTAGGCATTGACTAGGGAAAATGAAATGTGGGATAGTGGGGATAATGAGAACATAAGAAAATGGGGGGGGGGGATCCAAGCTAAAACCAGGTAGAAGGGGTCATAGAGTGGTAAGAAGGTTTTTTCAGCAGGTTGAACCAGATCTAGCAAGCCTTTGAACTCAGCTGTAACAAGTCTGCACATAATGCTAGATAGAAGCAGACTGTAAGCTGAATGAAGTGTCTTCAAAACATGAATCACTGCAGAATTAACTGACATACTCCTTTCCCTGAATTAGCATTTTGGTGAAGTGGTTCTATCCTTATCTTAAACTGTCTAGTGATGACTGCAGCTTGGCATTATTTTTGTAATGTATCTGCAGGGTATTTGGCAGTCTATCCAGTCCATTCATCACTCTTTGTCAATACAATACTATGTATTCAGTTCGGCAGTATGGTGGCCAACAGCTCCTCCCCACCCCACTGGTTAAATGGCTTATTTCATGGCAACCCCACCCCCATCAATTAAATACAGAATTAAAGCATACGATTTAGGACAATATAAATGTTTCTAAAAAGTGAATGCAAATGTAAATTCCTGTTCTGAATAGCCAGCATGGGTACAACTGCCTTGCAGTACATTGTAGTAGAATGAACAAGGTATGTTGCCAACCCCATCAGGTGTTCATTAATACGCTGCCACATTAAAAGTGTATGAATAGTCATACGCATAATTCAGTATTTTTATAAAAGCCCAGCGTTTTCCTCTACTGAATATTAATTGCATAGATTTTAGCTGATGTCCATATATTCAGCACATTAGCCACCTAGAAAGGCCTCAGAAGTTATAGGCAGTCTATAAATACATGTATAAATAAGTAAATAAGTTCTCAAGTTTATGGTCCAACATTATACAAGAGGGAATTCATTAGAGGGAAGTATTTCTGAGTCTTTACCAATACAATTCATAGGTTCTACAATATTTTCTTTGAAGGCATAAAAATTAGAACCATGGCGGTGTGATGTGGTGGATTGCATTGTCTTGAACTGGTGAAATCAACCATAAAGAGGTTCATTTCTTCACATGGCCAGATGCCATGTGTACTAAACTCCACTTTGCAGCCAAGGCTAATTTTCAGTCCATAGATAATTCCTACAAGGACTGTAAAGTTTCATCTCCTGCTGCTGTTTTTCTCCAGGTCTAGTGCCATCAATGTAGTGAAGATACTACGAGTCCTGAGAGTGCTCAGACCACTGAGGGCTATCAACCGAGCCAAAGGACTAAAGGTAGAAGACAATTCACAAATCTGTAATAGATTGGGTGCAGATTTGCTTTAGTGGCTTTACTTAGTTGATCTAGGGCACAATAAGTGAACTAATGGGCTTTTCATTCTCCTGATCTTAGTGGGTGCAGCACATCTCTGTGCTGTGCAGGAAACCATGGACTCTGCTTTTGCATTCCCAGTGATACTACCTGGATGTATAGAAAGAAGGAAATACAAAAAGAATATTACTACTTACTTATTCACCTCAAACCCTGGAATCATGTAATAACCATACAACTAACTCTTGCTTCTGTCTTTTGTTTGCAGCATGTGGTTCAATGTGTGTTTGTAGCCATCCGAACCATCGGGAACATTGTGATTGTCACAACGTTATTGCAGTTCATGTTTGCCTGCATTGGAGTTCAGTTGTTCAAGGTAAATACTATAGGACCTGTTTTTCACTTTTTCTTCATTGATTGCTGGAAAAGGAGGTGAATTGTGGAGCTTCCACTAATAAAAGTATGAAAATTTAGGGCTGCAGTCAAGTTGCTTTATAACATTTCTGCATTACATGCTTATATATCTGATTAGACCCATAATCTTACCTGAAAAAGTCAAAGTGGAGGATTGAAGAAGGAAGTTAATGGGGGAAATGACACAAAATGTTTTCTGTTTTTAAAGTCGTTTTGAATTCTATTCACCCCATTTTTGAAGCAAAAATCTGTAGCTGTGAATATCCAGTTCTATAGGAGATGTTGAGTCTTATCCCATATATATCATCTTCATATTTTGGGCATAGCATCTTGATTGTTCTTGCAGGTATTTGCATCTGCTTTCTTTGTTTCTTTCTAAGTTTCCATTGCATAACATGCATTTTTTTTCTGTGTTTGATAGGCTCAAGATATAACATTAGTTTGTGCCAGGGTAATGAAGCTGTCCCGTAAGATGGTACTATTCTGTCCTGTACTATAATAAATTCCAAAAGAATGCACCATTAGCTCAAGCTGATTCATTTAAGTGGTGCACAATTGAGCACATCCCTGCCCTCTTGGTTGATGAAGCAGCTCTTATAATGTGCTCTGACATTAAATCTGAAAAGTTCTCAAAAGCTTGTCTGTCAAGTCATTCATTAAATGGACACAAAATTGTTCATAGATCTGCTATCTTTATTTACCTTCCTACCATAGCATGAATTTTTAATTATAAAAATGTATGCCCAGGTAAGAACATGTGACTTAATTGTATAACTTAAAACTTTCAAAAGGTCTTGGTCCCCATAACTTGGTTGCATATCCCCATAACTTAAATAACACATCAAAGAAACAAATCAGATTCAGAGGCCAAATATTAAGCTAATAAGAACTTAAGTGATAGAGCACGTATTTTACTTTAAGATAAACAACTATTTTGAGCCTGGAGGCATATTTGGCAACTTAGAAAACTGTTCTGGACACCACAACACAATGGCTGACATGGAAAGCATGACTACTCTCAAAGGGCAAGCAGTTTGCCCAAAAGATTGTATACAATGTGGCCTAAGCATTTCCCCTGAATCATTTTCAACACCTTTCACAATTTCCCCTTTTTCTTGGTGGTTGGCCACAGTGCAAAGGAAAGCATGGATCTGCAGCTACCTTCCTATCCCAAGAATGTCTCTGAGCCCCATCATGTATCCCAGAGGCATCCGTGGAAAATGAAGATAGTCTCACCTGTTGGCTCTCACATTGCTTAGGAGTGATCCTAGATGCCAGTAAGGAAATACATGGATTTCTTTAAGTGGGAAGTGAAGACTATCTTGACATCTACCAAGACAGGTATCCAGGGGCCCACTGGTGCCCTTGGGCACCATATCTGAACTTGGAAAAGGGAGTGGCCCCATTCTTCCTGAAAGGGGTGGTAATGAAACCATTCCTGAGGAAATCCTTTCTAGACCCCAGAAACTCTTAGTGGATTTAGTAAATGGCCCTTTTCTGAATAGATTCTTGAATGAATGGCAACCAACCATCTCAAGACACTCTTGGATGAGACTATCTAGATTCACTTTGTCATGAGTCAAGCCAGAAGAGAGATGGAGATACTGACCCTGCCGATATTCTTGGGTCTCTCGCCAGGTTTTAGTACAATTGACCATGGTATACTCCTGGAATGACTGTCCGAGATGGGAATGGGGTAGAACTTTTTCCTGGCTGCAACAATGGAATGGCTTAGGACAAACAAACCTAAAGTTCAGTCCAAACAAGACAGAGATGCTGTTCCAATCTGTTCTGAATGGGGTTACATTCCCCTTGAGGGAGCAGATTCTTAGCTTGTGGGCCCTCCTTGAGCCATCTTTACCACCTGAAGCTCAGGTGGCCTTAGTGGGATAGAATTCTGCCTTTCAACTTTGAATGGTGGCCCAAGTACACCCTGATCTGGACAGGTACGGTTTTGTTTCAGTAGTCTGCACTCTGTTACTTTCTAAATTAAACTACTGCAGTGCAGTGGCTTTTCTTGAAAACTATTAAGAAGCTGCACTTTTGCAAAATACAGCAGCCAGACTAATAACTGAGCCAGAGGGTGTGAACACATAGTACCAATTCTGGCCTGCTTGCATTGGCTGCCTGTATGCACCTAAGCCTGATTCAGTGTGCTGGTTTTAACTTACAAAAACCTTACATGGGTTGGGACTGTATTACTGGATGGGATGCTTTTCCCAAGAGCACTTCTCTTGGGTACTTTGATCAACAACTGAGGCCTCTCTCTACCTGCTATCTCAAAGGGAGGCTTGGAAGACAGCAACAAGGGCCTTCTCAGTTCTGTTCCCTCCAGCTATGCAATTATCTCTTCACTGAGTCATCTTTTTGGTGCCAGTTTAAGACAGTCCTCTCTGCCAAGGCATTTAAAGTTATCTAAAGTTATCTAATGGCTTGTTGGGGGCATCCATGTCTGGCATTGGTTTGTTCTATATTGAATACTATTTAACTGATTAATTGTTCTAAAGTTTTAAATTGTTTTAAAATTCAGTATTATGGAAATGTCTATAGCTGTCTTTATTTATCATGGTCATGTGTAAAGTACTTTTGTGAAGAACCCAGGAAACAATACCTATTGGACAGAATAGTAGTTAAATAACTACATAAATAATGTCTTCCCCTGCTTTACATGCAAATAGTCCATGTTCTATCCCTGGCATCTCAGGTTAAAAGGAGCAGGGAATAGGTGATGGGAAAGGCCATTCTCTGACTAAAACTCTGAAACTTTGAAGAGTTGGGTAAGAAAGACAAATAATCTGACATACTCTAAGGTAGATTCCTGTCTTCCTAGCTGAGTACAGCATAGGTTCAAATAAAGTGGAATTCTCATGATATGTAGGTATCTGTTGAAGTCAGCTGAAGCTGGACTTTCATTGTAAGTTGAAATAATTTTGTGAGTGGTTTTGTACATCCTGATGATTTTCCCATTAAGCATTAATCCATTTTTCAAAACTGTATAGGACCTGTTGAGCCATAATGGACATAATTTTTTAAAAAAAAGTTTATACATTTTGATGCAGCGTGAGAGGGAACCCTGTTCAGCATGTAAAATAAATCTGTGACATAATAATTATTGCTCCCCTGTTTAGACCCTGTTCTTGCTTTTTTATGTTTCTCTGTGTTTGACTTTCTGACATCCATGGCAACAGAATGATATAACCATGGGCAAAATCTGGACAGGAGGCAGTGGATGTGGGACATTAATTAGAGCTATTAAGAGCACAACACTATGCCTGTTTAGACAGAAAAAGTCCTACTACTCCTAGGATTTTCCAGCCAGTATGTAGGTCTTGCATACTAAAAATGTCAGCTAGTGAAGGAAACAAAGCACATTATTTCTTCATGAGGCACTAATTAAAACATAACTCAATGTACTGTCATTAAATGATGTGATTCTTCTGCTTTTGTCCTCCTCCAGGGCAAACTGTACAGCTGTACTGACAGCTCCAAGCAAACAGAAGCAGAGTGCAAGTGAGTTCATCATCTCTGGCCAGCCTTCCATATGAACTGGATCTAATCCCCCCAAAACCTTCATTTTCTTGTGTGTGTTTTCCCCTCCTTACCTTCCTTCTCCTAACAGGGGCAATTTTATCACTTACAAGGATGGAGAAGTTTCTCAGCCGATGATCCAGCCTCGAAGCTGGGAGAATAGCAAATTTGATTTTGACAATGTCCTCACTGCCATGATGGCCCTCTTTACTGTTTCAACCTTTGAAGGCTGGCCAGAGTGAGTATATAAGGCTAATTTATATGGCTTTTAAAAATAGACTCAAAATAGTTTCCTTTTTCAGTGTATAAACAGGTCAAAACAGCCTTCTGAATGCTTTATCACATTACTTCATCCTAGTTCAACCTCTTTTTAAAAGGCTCTCTTGGAGACTCTTCAGACTCACTAAAACATTCACAAGACTGATTCACTGTGCACAGTGTTTGGAAAATTTCAAATGGTACGTTTATAGGAATTCCTTCCCTTGCTTCCGCCTGAGTGCTATAGCATACAATTGGCAGATCACAGAACTATCCCAGACAAGGCAAAGTCTCATTAATTGAGAGCTAGCATGGTATAGTAGTTAAGAGCTTGGGACTGGGACTCAGGAGATCTGGGTTCTAATCCCCACTCAGTAATGGAGTTCAATGGGTGACTTTGGGCTACTCGCAGACTCAGTCCAACCTACTTCACGGGGGTGTTGTGATGATAAGAATGAAAGGAGGATAATTATGTAAGCCCCCTTGAGTTCCCTGCTGATTGCTATCAACCCCAAGGAGTGGCAAGGTCCAGGGTGGACAAAACCACTCATCATGGCAATGTATTCTGCATTATGGCTGCTTGGAAAAGCCCTTAATCAGAGCCAGATTTACATATGAGCTGAGCAAGCTGCAGCCCAGCCCAGCAACTAATAATCTTGGGGGACCTCAACGTCCTGCCATTTTTTAAAATTTATCATTAATTTTATTTCATTTGTAATGATAAAAATTTAGGGGTGTATGCAGGTAAAAGATATTTTTAGACTAAAAGGGGTAAAGAAGGCTCTACAGTCAACAGTGTACTGAGATCAATTGTGTGATCTAAGCATTCTGTGCAAAGAAAATGATAAACTGCAACTTGCTGATTTTAAGGATCTAATTGATAAGTTTGCATCCAAAGATGCTTGAAAGAAACTGTTCTGACTTTGTATGTAGTATAATGTTATAATGTAGCTATGGTTCCCCTATGAATATTCTGTGTGAACGTCTTCATTAATTCCATACTTTTGTAAATTTATTAAAATAAATAATGTATAAATAATATGTTTATCAATGCAATGTTCAACAATGTTCTACTTCCACTGAGTAGCTAAAGAAGAGAATGAGGTTTTGTTTCTCATGATCAGATGCTATTAAGTTTGGACCTCCCAAGATCTCCTAGCCCAGGGCCTCCAGTTGCTTTAATCAAGGACTGCCCTTGCTACCCATTTTCGATTCTCTTCTTTTTTTCTAGACTGCTGTACCGATCCATTGATTCCCATATGGAGGATGTAGGGCCTATCTACAACCACAGAGTGGAGATCTCAATTTTCTTCATTATCTATATCATCATCATCGCCTTCTTCATGATGAACATCTTCGTTGGTTTTGTCATTGTAACTTTTCAGGAACAAGGAGAGCAGGAATACAAGAACTGTGAGCTAGATAAGAACCAGGTAATATAAGGGCTCTATGGGATGACTGAAGGAATAAAATACAACCAGTCATACTCAGGCTATCAAAAAAATCCTCTAATATAGGGATGGGGAACTTGGGGTTATCCAATGTTGTTGGACCCAAGCTCCCATCATCTCCAGACACCATGACCTATGGTCAGGGGTGATGGGGGTTATATTTTGACCGTGTCTGGAGGACCACAGGTTCCCCATTCCTGTCCTAACAGTAAAATCATTTTCTATTAAAGGCTGACATGCAAGCCAAAATTCTTATGGCACATATAAGCTGAGTAATGGTCCTGCTGTTGCAAGAGTTTCATAGAGGACAGAACATTCCCTGTGCATATTTTCATAGGAAGACTAGCTGCAGAGGGATAGGTATATAAGCAATTAGAGAAGTGAGAGATTCCATGTTCTGCTTCAGCCTTTTTTTATACTATCTTGGCAGGCAATAGCATTTCTTTGGTTCCAAAAGTGACTATGGAAATATCGCTCCATCTAATAGCAGACTCAGAAAGTGAATGCCAATGTGACCAAAGACAGACAAGGCATGCCAATGCCAATATGACCAAAGGCAGACAAGAATCATGTATCAGAATGCTTGGGAAACATTGAGGTTTTCAGGGATAAAAAACTAAATGGGGAAAATACCAAAGGGGACTAAGTATATTCAGTTATGAAAATGAAGTAAAAATTAGAGGGTAGTATCCTGGCTGGCTGAAACCCTGAATACTCTTGTTAGAAGGTGTAGAAACACTGCAACATTTTGTTGCATATCCCTCTTATTTATGACTAAATGCAAAAATGTCTCATAGCCCACCAACATGTATAAGCCAAACACAGATACTTCTTTTTGATATTTATTTTGTTAAGCATCTATCATTTAACCTATGGGTAGTGACAGCTGGTGTTTGAGTGTGTGGTTGAGGAACCTCTAAATCTACTCTGCCCCCAAAGAGATCCCTGGTGCATGAAACCTCCTGTCACAGCTGATTATCAGTGTAAGGAACTGTTTTTTAACACATGGTAAAGGTTACTTTTTTAGACAGAACATTCACTTTTGCTGATTCAGAAAGGTACCAAGTGGATAGTTCATTACAGCAAAAACAAGAGTATTACCTTAAAGGCTAATATGTTTATTATGTCATAAGGTTTTGGGAACTAAGTTATTACCATCTCAGGAAGCACAGTGGCTCTGAACCAAGATATCTTATATGAGTGGCTTGGAAGACATAACTGTGATATTCAGACCTTCTTCCCACCTACACACCTGCAACACTACCTTGATACTAGTCTGCCTTTATTTATTTCTGTACTGCCCCAGAGCTGACGCTCTCAGGACAGGTTACAGAGTCCATAAAAACAGATGACAAAATAACAATATCATAAAATCAGAAAAAGTATTTAAAAGGTTTTAAACAGCTAAAAAAAGAGAATAAGAAGACAATAACAAGGAATGGGGAGGAGTGACGGCAAACCATTGCTTTAAAGAAACATTGCATGAATTACTGAGATAACATGAACTGTAGTGGGGAACCAGTGACCCACATGCTGGATATGGCCTGTAAGACCTACCTAGATGGTCCATTGGTTTACCTCCTTGCCCCCTCCTCCATATGGCAGTTGTGCTTGCAATTCAGCAGAAGCTTTTATAGAAGCTTAAGAGATTTGGAATGGTGGTGTAATGTTTTGGGAAGAAGCAGCTAATCTCACAGCAGTTAGACATGAGAAATCCTCCCAAGCCTCAATAGGTGGCATATTTGGTATAGATGTGTATGAATTGGTTTTGGGATGGTGTCGAAGAGTGAGGGTCACTCTTTGTTTAGGCCCTAGGAACTGCTGACCACCTTGCCCAGAGGAGAGTTGCCTCCATTTTGAAAATTTCACCCTAAGATGAAATTGTGTGGAAGGATGGAATATAAATGCTTGTAATTAATTAATTAATATGCATGGAATTGTTCTGGACATTTTCTTTCTGCAGACAGAGGATCTACCTCAATGTTTTGTTTTGGTTTTTTTTTACAGCGCCAATGTGTAGAATATGCTCTGAAGGCCCGTCCCCTGAGGAGATATATCCCCAAAAACCAGTACCAGTACAAAGTATGGTATGTGGTGAACTCCACCTATTTTGAATACCTGATGTTCGTCCTCATTCTGCTGAACACGATCTGCTTGGCCATGCAGGTAGGTCAGAAGTTAGAAGGTACTGCATTAGGGTTTAGTTTACTCAGTTGTGTTCAGTTCAAAATAATATTTATGATCAAAAACTGAATAGATGTTATTTAGTAATAACCTAAATGGTGAAGAAGAAGAAAATAAAGGCTGAGGAGGCAGGCTTTAGAAAAGACCTAATGTTCAACCATCATCAGTAGGTTTTCCAGGAATAGAGTACTAAAATTCTGTGATGAAAAGAATTCCCTTTGTTCCATGAGAACAGAACAATTTGTGTCAGATAAGCAAATTCTGTTTAAACAAACCTATCTGCCAAATACCATTGCAAACTTTTTACATACAGAAATAACATTGTCTTTTAAAGTCCACACCTCCTTTGCTTTTCCTTAATTGCATTAGGATTCTGTAAAAGCATACATTCTCAAATGCTGTTATACAAGTTAAAAATTAAATTAGTATAAATTTCTGCAACATAGATTTTTCTTTAGCTGTACTTAAGCATATACTATATCCCAAGGACTGAAATTGTGAATAGGAAATTGAAATGGCGCTTGCCTGCCTGTGGTATTAGTATTAATATTCTGATAAGAGGAATTGGTTGGTTCAGTTATAATTCTAATAGTTATAGGATTATTTGTTAGAAGTGCAACTGATGAAAACATAAGTATATCAGATATTTGATACTGAGATGGAGAGCCATATGAATACAGACTCTAAAACCAAGATAGGAAATACGAGTTTCCCATGACAGATATGAAGTAGGGATTTTTGTTTTTTTTAAACTTTTCTAGACCATCCCATTACTGAAGTCTCAGGATGGTTTAACAATACAAAATATAAAAAATTTAAAATACAGCATCCTAAAATTCAACTAATACTAAAACCCCAATTAAAACAGTCAGGTCTTAAAACATTGGGAAAATAAAAAGGTTTTGGCCTGGCACTGAAAAGAATAAAGTGACGGCACCAGACAAACCTCTCTGGGGAGCGAATTCCACAACTGGGGCACCACCGCAGAGAAGGCCCTTCTCCGGATAGTCCCCCTCCTAATCTCCTTCAGGGAGGGTACCCGGAGAAGGCCATCTGCCCCAGATCTTAAGGGGTAGGCAGGCACATATGGAAGGAGATGCTCCATCAGGTAACCAGGCCCTAAGCCATTTAGAGCTTTATAGGTCATCACGAGCACCTTAAATTGGGCCCAGGCTTCAACTGGAAGCCAGTGTAGGTGGAAAAGGACTGGGGTTCTATGTTCATACCTGCTGGACCCTGGTGGCTCTATTCTGGACCACTTGAAGTATTCGGATTGTCTTTAGAGCACATAGAGCACAGGATTTCATGTGTATGCAGAAAAGATCCCAGTTCAAAATGAAAGCAATTTTATGGACCCTGGGAGAGCATTCCAAGGACAATAGATTGCTCATAAAGTTCCTCTGAGGCCATGGACAGTGCTTCAACTTTGGAAGGGAGAGTCAGAGATTTCTCCCACACACCCCACTGTAGCCAAAGAGAGAAACATACTGACCTCAAAAAGGGAGAAAAGGAGGCATTCTAGTGGGCAGGGAGAGAAGGAAGACAGAAAGACCAGGATATGAGTTACCTTGAGCCTCTTCCAGCCTGCCTTCCCAAATCTGTAACTTGGGAGGATGGGGAGGCAAAGAACACCACCTTTTACTTTTCTTGCCTTGCATTAAATGGTAGGATACCTCCAAGTTCCAGTCATGGAGAGCTCAACTGATAAGACTGTGTCCTTAAAATCCAGTAAATATTTTAGGGATGATGGGATGGAGAAGGGAGGGGAAACCTTTTTTAGGAACCTTTCAGAAAGGGCAGGTGATTATGTATGTAACGTAACAATCCATTTTTCAACATGCTCAATATACTGGCTTTTTTTAGCACCATGGTCAGAGCTGTATCTTCAAAGAAGCAATGAACATCCTCAACATGCTGTTCACTGGCCTCTTCACTGTTGAGATGGTTCTGAAATTAATTGCCTTTAAACCCAAGGTAGGTATTTCTGATCAGGGTTTCTCTCTGTGGTCCAAGAGAGGACAGGAGGATATGAAAGGTAATAAATCCCAGACTATCCCTCATTCTGCTTCATCACCTACTTAGGATTTGAGCAGTTACTGTCTGGACTGGAGTCTCAATCTGTGCTTGGAAGGGTGTTCCATTTTTGAGTTGAGTACAGAGTCAGAAGAGCATTCTCTTTCTCTCGTTCACACACACACACACACACACACACACACACACACACACACACACCATCCTACTTTGAGGTCGTATAAGTGCTATGATAGTTTAATTTTTCAGAAGAGATGAATGGGTGAAAGATACACATCTTTACAAAGCATCATGGTCAGTATAAGAGGCAGGGCTTTGGTGAATTGAATCATGGTTACAATAGAAAGACATTCAACTTGCCTCTTTTGCAGTCACCCTAAAACTGAGAAACTGAAGAGAATCCTTTCCTTTATCCTTTCCTTCTTCTGAACAACAGAAAGCTGGGCTTTCTAACTGGGAGGCAAAATGTTCTTATGCCATATATATCCTGATGGTGTCTGAGCCAGCAGTGGTCAATCAAGACAGAGACATTGAAGCCATGGTGAATGGCTTAATAAAACTGTTGACCCAGAGTGTGGCAACTGTGAAAAAACTGCATCCATTTTAGCAATAAGGATTAGACAAATTCTTAGAGAATAAAGCTGTCAGTACCTAGTAGTCATGATGGTTATATATCCTGCATCCAGGATCGGAAGCAACATGCCTCTTAATACCAGTTGCTGGGCATTAGCAGTGAGAGAGAGGTCTTTTCCACATGTCCTGCTTGTGGGCTTCTCATAGGCATCTGGTTGACCACTGCAGGAACAAGATACTGGTATGGATAAGATTTTGGTCTGATCCCACAGGGATCTTGTGTTTTTATGTTTTTCTAAGCATTCTTTCCTTTCCTTTTCTGCCATCAAATATGGGTACTCCTTTTAAAAAAAAGCAGATACGTTAAAAGCAGTCATGGATTTAACATAGCATTGTAGCTTGGCCTGAAGTTATAAGATGGTAGTAGTGCATCATATATGTATTTACAGTGGTACCTCGGCTCACGAACGCCATGGTTCATGAACAAATCGGATCACGAACAAACATTTCATTAAAATTTTGACGTGGGTCGCAAACTCTGCATTGGGTAGCAACCAAGATCTCAGCCATCTCCCCCACCCCCCGAGTGGAGAGATGGCTGTGATCGCAGTTCCGTTCACGCAGGGAAGACTTGCATGATCACGGGCGCGCTCCTGCGGGAATGATGGGCGCAATATCTTGGCCATCTCCCCACTCAGGGGGGTGGGGAGATGGCTGCGATCACAGTTGCTTTCGTGCTGGGAAGGCGTGCGTGATCACAGGCGTGCTCCTGCAGGAAAGATGGGTGCAATATCACCCATTCCCCCCCCAACCAGCATGATTGCGGCCATCTCCTCACCCCACCCTTGAGTGGGGAGATGGCCACAATCGTGCTAGGGACGGGAGGGAGATGGCCGAGATCGTGCCCATCTCCCTCCCCCAGCGCACTGTTTGCACCTGTCTCTTCCTCCCCCAGCGCGCCACAATCACGCCCGTTTCTCCCCCCCACCCCCCACTGCACGTGGATGATGGGTGTGTGCCGGGATGACAGGAGCCTGCAGGGAGGACAGGCGTGTACGGGGATGACAGGTGCGATCTCGATCGTGCGGGGGGGGGCAGGGGGATGACCACGCTTGTGCTTGGGGTGGAGAGGTGGCCGCGATCTTTGTTGTTGTCACTTTGCTTCACATTTTTCTGATTTAAAAAATGGTTACAGAATGGATTAACCTTATTTACACTGAACCTTATGGGGAAATTTAACTTGGCTCATGACCAATTCAGGTCATGTCCAGAGTCCTGGAACGGATTAAGTTCGTGAGCCAAGGTACCACTGTATTTATGGCTGCACTATGTACAACTTCTACAACTTCAAACCAAGTCTCTTGCCCCAAATCATTCATTTCCTCAACAGAAAAATCCACATAGGCACCAATAGAATCTTCTCATCTGAATAAAATTGTGACTGGGGTGGGGGGCACTATTTGCTGGGACTAGAGCAGGGAAAAATTAAATCATCTTTCCATATACCTAATGTAGATCATTTCTCCTGCTTGCCACATTGACAATTGTAGATTACAACAGGGTGTGGAGATTTCAGACTTGTAGGATTCACTTAATTTTTTAGCAGAACCCTGAGATCCACAAAGTGGAGCCAAATGCAAAAGACATACGCTTCCAATTAAAGCATTCTGAACCTAGGAACTTGCTTTGAATACCAGAACTGACATAAATTCAGTCTTTCTATACCAAAATCCAGTTCTGGTCACTGCCCACCCTCCTACATACATATTCTCCATTTCAGCAGTATATTTTGGAGTAGTCATTCAGTTCTTGCCATTGCTAAATGATTGGGAGTCAGAAATCCTTGCCAATTCGCTTTATATCACCCAGCAGCTTATCTATCTTAGCCTTCTTCTACCCCAGTTTAAAATGACACATATAACATGTCATTTGGTCCTTAGGCTAGACTCTGTTCTGTAATCAGGAGAAGCCCAGCAGCCATATGCGTCTGGGGATGTTACCCTGCTCTATGCTACCTAGCTGTCAGAGGTAACAAACAGCTTGAAGTGACTACATGGATTATCTTGTTTCATTTGTTGCAAAAACTGTTTAGCCATCTATCCTTTGGTATGCTACTGAATTTATCACATCTACAGTATCTTTATCAAAGATCTGTTAGCTGGAATTGTAAGTGCAGCTGTAGGCTTCCATGCTGTTAAGCCCACTGGGTGGGAAATCTTGAAAGTTTCTGGAATCCACCCAAGCAGTCACTAACTAGGACAATGAGAAGCACTCCATTATGTTTCTTTTTCTTTGTTATATCTGGATGCTTATATCCTAACCAAGTGAACAAGCTGTTTTCTTTAAGATAGAGGCGGGAAACTGCTTTATAGCTAAAAGCCTTACCAATTGAAAAGAATAACATTCCTATGTAGATTTATAGCTTACTGTAGTATCAGTCACAGATTCCAAGATCTAATTAATTAATTTACAGAATAAATTGAATGGGACTGGCAGGCAGCTACTACGTGCTTTTAGTATGTGCATAATAGTTCCAGAAAACCACATTTTTCTGGCTTTCCAAAAATCCCTTTCTCCTATTTACCGCACAGGGATAGGAATGTATGTCTCTTTTCCCCTTACTACTGTAGCATATTTGTAGATTTTTTTAGGATAAAACCAGCTTAAGACAACTTACAACATACAGTGAAGATTTGGAACCATTTTCCTTTGCTTTACTTTGTTTTTGTGTGTAGTAATAAATCCTTTACTTAGAATTTCACTTATTCATTGATTAATTCAGATTTATAAAGATTATATTGCAAGAGGGGCAGGGCTGGAGCAATCCCCCTCCCTGAAGTGTTTAAACAACAAGCTAAAAGAATGTCCAAATGATAAAAATAAAAAGTGAACATATTTGGATGTTTGAAAGTTAGCTTAATTGTGTGGCTGCCACCCCCTTTCCAACTCACACGATTCAGAACTTGAACAGCTGCAGCAGGAATGAGGTAAACGTAGTAACAATCATGTACATTTTAGAGTGTTTTCAACCTACCCTTTTCAAGACAGTAGCCCACCACAGATTTTTAAGTAGCATTATATTGCTTTGAAAAAGTAAATTGAGGGCTCTTTAATATGTAGATATGAAAAAACTTAAGTGTCCTTTGGAAGGGTAAAATAGAAAGATTGCCTCTCCATTTAGCCATCTGAGTTGATAGACATAAGGCTTATTTTTTACATATGGATTAGACTGGATTATGAATTGCAGCTTTATGAAATGTCTTGGCATTTTTGGATTGCATTGCTGCAGAGTTGGGAACTGAGTTTAAACTACATAACATACAGGGATTTGTACTTTTTGCCCCCACTGCCCACTTAATATGCCTATATTGCACTACATCCTTTTTTAAAGGCCTTTGCCATATAATCAATCCTATAGTTGATTTATAAGAAAGCTGACAGACTAAATCCAGTATGAAAAACTGAACAGGGAAAAAGGGGGACTTTTTCTTTCACAATGAATGTACCCAGGGAATTGGTGCATTTCTGCAACATTGTGACAGGTTTGCTTCCAGACTAGCAGTTAAAAGTTTTAATAATATCATTACAAATGATATGAACAAGTATGTGCAACATATGGGAAGCACTACATTTGCTATTATACTTAATAATTTAGTATTTAAAATTATTTACATAGTGTTAAAAAACTCACTAGGGTGGTATCCTGGTATCTGACTTGCAATAGTGCCTGCAGGGACAGCAGCTACACAAAAAGAGAATAATGCTACAGTGAAGGTGATTTACTCATCATAGGGAATCCTAAATTTGTGAGCTCAGGAGACTTCATATCAGAAGTATGAAACATCACTAAAACAGAAGCAAATGGCTGGAAATATATCAGTCAGTGATAGCTGGGGTAGAGCTGAAACAGTACGTTTCAAAACACTCTTCTTGAAATTCTGTATAATTGAAAATTCAACCAACATTTTATATTCAGTAACTAAGGATATCTGCAATGATATTTAAATAGACTATATAGCCTTTGAAAGCTGATATGCAAGGAATTGGGGACTGAATTTTAAAATTTTTAGTAGTCATAAATACAATATCTATCAAGATGACTCTTAATTCCATTGTATGGACAAGCTCTCAAAACTGATAGTGACTGAGGAAAGCTGCTTATTAGTTGCTGTGTATGTAGTTATCTACTATGGACACCAAGCAGATATCAAGAACGTCAAAGTAGATTAGGTCAAGACTAATTGTTATTGTAGCATTTTCCCTTCACTGACTGATATGTATGAAGGTTGACATGAAAAACATTGCATTAGAAGGCAAAATCCATGCAGATTTTGCAAGAAACAATCATGAACAGTAGCACCCCCCCTTAA